TTCTCTCATTTTATGATTTTTTTAATGCAGGGGCGATTTGAAATACTGTCACTCTCTGGTTCATTTTTGTTATCCGAAAGTGGTGGCCACCGAAGCAGAACTGGAGGTTTGAGTGTATCTCTGTCTGGGCCAGATGGTCGTGTTTTAGGGGGAGGGGTCGCGGGTCTTCTAACTGCTGCCTCCCCTGTTCAGGTTCTTTTTACTCTTTGTGTGCTTCTTTGTTTGCGGGAGAGAAACCCACGCAATGTTAGATTCAGAATCTATCTGTGTTTGTGGTCACTCCATTCTTGCATTTTTGGAAAGTAAATTTTAGTCTAGTTGTTTAACTATAAACTTCATTAACTGACAATCTGGTCTGGCCCACATCCATGATGAAGCAACAGTAGAGATGTACTGAGAAAAGATGTTTGGAGGGCAATGTAGGGTAAAGAGAGATTTTTTTTCCCGATTTAGCTTGAGTACAGGAGGTTCGAGTTTTCTAGCATCTCATAACTTTCTGTCATAAATTTCACCTCAATCTTGGCTCAGTGTGTGTTGTGAGTTTTAGGGGAAATAGTCTCAATTTGGTGTTTATGTTCTCGTTTGCTGCAAACATTTGAAGTGCTCTTTGTGTTCAACATTCCAGGTGATCGTGGGAAGTTTCATTGCCGATGGTCACAAAGAATCGAAGTCAGCAAATCATGCAGAACCTTTTCTAGGCACAGCGAGGATCGCATCGTCTGGTGGGTTTACAGGGGCTAGCAGCCCATCTCATGGGACTCTCAGCGAATCCTCTGGCGGCCCAGGAAGCCCGCTAAACCAGAGCACAGGAGCGTGCACTAACAGCACCCCACAAGCCATGTCCATTGTACCGTGGAAGTAAATCTCCTCTTGTTAATCTAATTTGTGTGGTAGGCTCCGCATGCTGATAAATAGTTGGCTAATCTATGTGATCACCTCTTTTAGTGCAAAGTCCTTGCGTGAGATCCGTAATTTATTCTACCCGAAGCGTGTTTGGAATATGTGAATTAAGTAGATAGCCACCTGTTATGTTTCACCATCGTGTTGGTCTAATGCTAGAGATTGGCTTAGAGTTTATGATTAGAAGTTTTCACTGTTGTGAGATCGGCGAACCTCGTGTCATATGGTCCATGTATTTATGGTATCAGTTTCACGATAATACTGGAAGGGAATTCTTATCGGCTAATTTGATTTATGAAGTATGATTTGTTGCTTTTTGAGTGGAAAACTTGGAGCTTCAGTTTCTGGATTACACTTACAAGTGTTGATGAGAAAGGAATCAAGATTGCAAGCTGTGTCTTAACAAATTGAACAATCCTACTTCTTTTGGCCTTAGCCAAAATAAAAATAAAAATGTATGGCCATATGCTAACGAATCTAGTTTTTTTTAGGACAACTAGAACTTAGTCTATTATTTTATCTAAAACAACCCCACTTTTTATTTTTGAGACACAGAGCAGAGAAGGGAGAGGAACGAAGTTACTCTCTCTAGGTGGTATTCCGTGGCGTTGAGTAGTCATGATTCCACGGGATGCTGTCGAGACCAAACTGACTGAGGCAAGGTTCCATGAGCTTTTTGATGAGCTCCATGAACCTTATGATTAGTGATTGAAGGCAGAGAATGACCAGAACATATCCAATTTGACAAATCCTTCATTTCCTGATCGAAATCAGATAAAGCTCGGTAGGACACAATTTGACTCTGCAAGAGGGTCAGAGTCGAAGTAAAATCACTGCATCAGGCGCCCAGACATGTGGCTTACGGAGTCTCTGTATGAGCCTAAGTCGACTGGAAGGTACATTGGCGGAATCGTCCTTGGAACTGCTCATACTTGGAACTCCTAGATATCAGCAAGAACAAGATCGAGGATGCATTGCTAGAGACCCTTCGACAGTTGCGAGTTCTAATTCTCAGGTCCAATAAATTCTCTGGCTCGATGAAGACTCCTGTGGCTCGCATGCGGATTCTGCCAGGAAGGGAGGCCCAATGCCTTTGGAATCATTAACTTGCGCAATAACAATTTCCACATGGAGATCCCCGAAACCATTGCAAAGCTCATTAACTTTTGACTATAATCGACAAGCGACAAACTTAGTTGATGAGAGTAGGGTTTGGTAGATTATGAACAGAATTATCGGCAAGAGGAAAATGCCAATCGATTTTTGGATGTCGATGGCCAAGTGTTGTTATCGATATGTGATGGTGATTGGTTGACGATTGACTCTAATGTTGGTGAGTAACAGCTATATCTATGACCAAGTGTTATTATGCTATGACGATTGGTTAATAATTATTTGATAATGATGTATACCAATGACTAAGGACAGCTAAATGGTTTAACCACATGATTAATATTCATGATAAGTATTGAAGATAGTTGAAATTGTTTTGAAGAAGGACTACGTGGAGTTATGAAGTATGAGATCGTGGCAAGGAAGCTACACGCTAGAAGATTCGAGTAATAAACGTTCATAAGGGAGTTATGAAGCCTAAGATCTAGCAAGGACGCTACACCCAAAGGTTACACCCAAAGATTAAAATAATAACTGCTCATAAGCAGTTATCGATTATGTTAGGCTATAAGCACTCGAAGTGTATTCATGTAGAGTCCTCTCCAATCAATCAAAAGAGGGAAAATGATGCAAATAGTCCATGAATTTTAACTCACTGTGTAATATGATTCTTGAATTTTTAATTTGTTCAATATGATTCGTGAACTTTAATCTAATATGTAATGTGGTTCCTGAACTTTTGATTTATTCAATGTTGCCCCTGAACTTTTGATACATGTTTAATTTAGTCCATGAATTATATGAAAATGTTCAATGTAGTCATTCCATTAATTCAATTTAAGGGATTACATTGAATATTTTCATATAGTTCAGGGATTACATTGAATATGTACCAAAAGTCTAGGGACGACACTGAACAAATTAAAAGTTTAGAGACTACATTGTACATTATGGACCATTTGTGCCATTATCCCATAAAAGGAACTCGACGTTATCTTTATCTTTACATTTTTTGTAATTTATCTTTTTCGCAATTTAAATATTTTTCAATTCACATATTTTAGCCGTAGTTTTAGATATCTCGTTGTCGATTAAATTTTGGCATCATCTCTCTATCATCTCACTTTGACATCGATTAAATTCCGGCAAAGTGTTTTGTATTTCGTCATCGATTAAATTCCATCGAAGTATATTTGTTCCATGTGATTCATTGAGACTCATGTCCGGAATCGCCATAGAATCCGTCCCCTTTTAACAAAAACCGAAGAACGAATTTCGGTGAAACATCTTTTGTCGACGACCATTTTCGGTCCAACATATATTAATTGAAGATCATAAGTAATAATTTGGTATTCTAATAAGATAAAATCCAACAAAAATAGTTCTTTCGTTCCTTACACCAAGAGTTATTCTTTCAACTATATGCAAAAACACACGATTGATCCACACGACATCAGAATAGCTCATAAATCATTAAAATTAATTTTACAACTGTTTAATAAAAATTTTAAACAATGGAGAAACTGGGAATCCTGAATTGTTAATGATAGTGGAACATGTATTCCCGTTTCCAATATATCAACTACCCTTATAGAAAAGATTCACAAACAAAAGTGGGGGCTCATGAATTGGAATGATCGACTTCTTTAAACGCCCAATAGCAACTATTATTTGTCAACACATTGGCCAGCAACCGCGACGTGTTGATGGAAGCAACCAACTTGAATGGATGTAATTAAATATTAATATCTGTCGATATGCTATTGATATTAACCCATGTATAAATATGTTTAATTGTATAACTGTGAATAAATAGATTGAAATGTCTCGTACAATATAAATAAGCAGGTCGTGAGACTTAAATGTTACATCACATGCGTAAAGAATAAAAATGGCTAAATTGAACGTCTGATTAATTGCAAGGGTTAATGAACTTTCAAATAAGCGTGATGCATCGTGATACCGTATATTGTTTTATCTCGTTTGAATCAGGGTCTATTCATTTAATATCGTCGCGGTCATATTAAAAGTTCGAGCCAATGAAATATGGAGCAATTAGATGCTATATGCTCTATAATATGGCAAATGCACAACGTGAGACTTCTCTAACACCTCTTATACGGGGTACCTTAATATTCTCAGTAATATTGTATCGCGTCTGAATTTGGTGATATTGGATCTTGGCATTGCCACAAAAAAAAAAAAAATTGTGGATGCCGATTAATCAATTGAGAAGAGGTAGAAACACAATAAAAAGGGCTTATGTCATTTTATTGGCATCTCCGAATGCCGGGTAGGAGAAAATGAGGTGCGGTCAGGAATTTTTTTTGTCAATTAGCAAATTGGGGGGTTTCTTACAATGCTTATTATCTCATTCGGCGTGGCTGTCGAAGATCCCTTAGTGAACAGATAGGTCATTTGCTGGGGGACCAATTTGGCTTGTTACTTATGTACTGTTTTTTTCGCGGAGTACAAATAATTTGAAATATATTTTCGTGTGCGATAAAAATATTTCTCGTTCATTCTTTATTGTAAGCGATATGAGCGATCGTTTTCAGAAAAAAAAAAAATTTTCCAAATCATTTATTTTCTGCAAAACAAACGGAACCTTAATCATGTGGTCCCCGTGGAATCATTCGTCACTATTGAATGTTGCGTGGTCAACTTGGCTAGTTCTCAACCGCAATGTGTCATATGTCTTACCCCCCAAAAAATAGCCGATCGGGGTATCGATTAAAGAAAAGAAAACCTAATATGCAAGGCATATCACGTGATATACAAACACGGCATCACCTTACAAGTCACTCAAGAAGAAACGCGCATAGTCCGTAAACAGGAATGCTCAATCGACTTGACAACATAACATGGATATGTTCACATTAATTGGAAATAAGAATATTTATTCAGAATTCGATGATTTATGCATCACTTAAGACAAACATCACCTATATGTATGTATGTAATCTTTATTTAATTGGGGGCCAAAATAAACAAGGTGATGAAATCAAACTAAAGATGACAAGCTATAATGTGGTGCCATACTTGGAAATTTACGCACAAAACAAGGACAAAAACCAGTTGACGAAAATATCTAAGGGGGGAAGCTCAACTCAAGGATTGTTAAACCAACCCGAGTTGAACTCATCTTAGAAAAGTCATTTGAGTCATCATTCTCTAGTGAGAAGAAACGATGGCTTCCGCCGGACTCGAATCGGCCACAAAGCCACACGCAGTTTGCATTCCAAGCCCTGCGCAAAGCCACATCGGGGCCATGCTCAAGCTAGCAAAGCTCCTCCATCACAAGGGCTTCCACATCTCCTTCGTCAACACCGAGTTCAACCACCGACGGCTCGCCAGAGCCCGGGGCCTCGACTCCGTGAACGGAACGCCGAGCGACTTCCGGTTCCTGACGATCCCCGACGGTCTTCCCCCTTCGGACGCGGACGCGACGCAGGACATGCGGACACTCTGCCACTCGGCGAGGCGCTTCATGGTCGGCCCCTTCGGCGATCTCGTATCGAGCCTGGGCTCAAACCCGAGCCTCCCTCCGGTGACTTGCATCGTCTCGGATGGTTTCATGCCGTTTACGACGAGCCCTGTGGCTTCGAGATATGGGATTCCTCTCGTACACTTGTTCACTGTTTCCGGTTCTACCCTCATGGCGGTGAAGCAATTGCGAGCCCTCGGAGAAAATGGTCTTTCACCACTCACAGGTAATGGATAAGAAAAATTTTGACTTGGATCACAACATGGGATCGTATTTCGTCGTACAGAGGAACCGAGCTAACTTAACTCCTGCCTGAGTAGAACCGAGATATTCCTCCTTTTACAGTTTCCATATACACCGTACACAGTCTTAAATTCCTAAACCTATTACGTTGATATCAATTCAGTTATAAATCTTTCAATTGGACCTATTTAGTTCTAAACCTTTCACATTAATACCAATTCAGTCCATCCGGTTAATTTAGGCAGAAAATCACTAACGTGGACACCGGCCGTCCGATGTGGACATTGGCCGTCCAACGTGGCACGGCCGGCAGACAGCTGGCGCTGATGCGAAATTTATAAACAATTTTTTTGAAATTTTTTAAATTTTTAAATTTTTTTTCCTCTTTTTTTTCTTTCCTTCCTTCTCCTTCCTTAGGCCTATAGCTGGTACCCGGCCATGGCCGGCGACTGGCCATAGGGTACTAGCCACAGGTGATGGCCATCCTCGAGGCCGCGGCTTGGGGGAGGGCTGCCCTTGCCAGATCTGGTGAGGGCAATCCTCGCCCAGACCATGAGGGTCTAGCCCTCGCCAGATTTGGTGAGTGCGACCCTCCTCTGTGGCCGGTGAGAGCCGTGATGCCCTCGCGTCGCCATCCACGTCAGCGATTTTCAGTTTAAATTGACCGGATGGACTGAATTTGTATCAATGTAAAAAGATTTAGGACTAAATTGATCAAATTGAAAGATTTAGGATTTAATTAATATCAGTACAATAAGTTTAGGACTTTGTTGGTACTTTTCCCAATAGGTTTGAGCGTTATTCCCATCACATTTTCCGAAGTGTTCACTTAATGAATTCATCATCCCATCAGACTACACTTGATGAGGAATTGCATATTATGCCATTCTCCTGGAAATTATTCTTCAGCCAGATCATATGCGATTATATGCATGTTTTTGAACACATAAGAAGAGCGGAAATCTATGGATTATATATCCAAGACTTGCATATTATATGATTTGTGACTTAGAATGCATTCAGAAAGGAGGAAAAGCACCGTAATTGAATCTGTTACTATTTGGTGATTTTGCCTGGATATGATGCATGCAGATGAATCCCAATTGATGAACGGGTATGGGAACACCCCTATTGATTGGATCCCGGGAATGAAAAACATGAGGTTGCGTGACTTGCCCAACTTCTTCCGAATCACTGGCTCTGACGATACCTTGTTCAACTTCACAACCGACGCGGTCGACAGGACTGGCAATGCCATGGCGACCATTGTCCACACCTTCGAGGCGCTTGAGCCGGACGTGCTATGCGCTCTCTCCTCAATGATCCCAGGGGTTTATCCGGTCGGACCGCTCCACTTGATGATCAATCAAATTGCCCGAGACGAATCGTTCGTCTCGAAGCACATCGAGTGCAATCTCTTGGAAGAGCACGACAAATGCCTCGAGTGGTTGGACTCAAAGATGCCCAAGTCCGTGATCTATGTGAACTTTGGGAGTATAGCATTCGTGACGCATCAACAGTTGGTTGAATTTGCAATGGGATTGGCTAATAGCAATCAGTGTTTCTTGTGGGTCTTGAGGCCTGACTTAGTGAATGGAGACACCGCGATTCTTCCCCGAGAGTTTGTTGAGAAAACAAGGGAGAGAGGCTTTTTATCCGGTTGGTGCCCGCAAGAGAGAGTGCTGAACCACCCTTCAATTGGAGGTTTCTTGACGCATTGTGGCTGGAACTCGACCATCGAGAGTTTGTCGGCCGGAGTGCCGATGCTGTGTTGGCCGTGCTTCGGAGACCAACTGACGAATTGCAAGTATATATGTGATGATTGGGGGATCGGGTTGGAGATGGATAGTAATGTGAAGAGAGATGAAGTGGAGAGGCTTGTGAGGGAGTTGATGGAAGGAGAGGTAGGGAAGAAAATGAGAAGCAAGGCCATGGAGTGGAAGAAGATGGCAGAAGAGGCCGCCGGTGAAAAAGGGTCATCTTTCATGAATTTGAATAAGTTGATGGACGAGGTTTTACTTAAGTAGGGTAATATTTTCCTCCATTTCTACCTAAATAGTGTAATTAGAGGACTTTCTTCAACTAAGTACTCTGATTAACAGAGTTATAAGTATGGATATTCTTCGTATACAAACTTAATTAAACTAAAAAAAAACGTGCTTGTCTTTGTCCTGGTCAGTGAAAATGGCTCTGATTGGTATACAAAGATATTGACATCGTTTGCGCGCATACTTAACTAAGAATGAATGTGATGAGTGTCCATAGTTATATTCCAGAAAACTCTCTTTCTATTAGGAAAGAAGAAAGATATGACATTTTTTTTAGGTATAGGCACAGTGTTTGTTTTAATGACAAAGTATTGCGGGCGTTAGGGTTTGAAGCTTTTTGACAATTGGACTTACACGGAATTAGACATATTGGCTCTTCTTTTGGACTTAAGCCCAATCGACTAAAGGCTCGACTGCCAACATTAACGTACGTAACATAGATTTTTCTTTTGGTTCGATGATGTTCTAATTTCTAATTTGAGATGACTCTCTCGCTCACATCTTTAATTGGTAGGTACAATATAGTAATTATTCGCCTGCAAATATTACTATTTACTTATATTACATAAAAAGTGTAAACTTCTCGACTGATAAGAATATGCAAATGGAACACTAACGTAATTGAAGCTATTAAAAAATACATTATATAAAAATTTCGTTTTTTGATTAATAAATATATATTCGCAAGTGTAAAATAGATGTCCTAAAAATATAAAATCTTTCACGATGTATGTAATTTTTCACCCCAACCTTTTTAACTGTGCTTTTAATGGTCTCATCCCTATTAAGATGTCTCGTCTTTCCAAACTTGTATCTCTCGATCTCTCTTAAAATGCTCATGGTTTGAAGGTACCTGGACCTTTCCAACACCAATTTGTCTGGTTTGATCCCTCTGTCACTCTTGGATTTTGAACAGCTTGATCATTTGGACTTTTCGGGGTACAACTTTGATGCTACATCGAACCTAGAAATGCTCCCAAAGCTAAAAAATTCTTCAATTCCTCGGTCTTTCACATTGTATAAAACAAACCAGTCGAGGGCAGTGGTGACCAAACACAGTTCGACCTAGAGGAACTACGAAGCGCCTCGAATACCACTCGAATAGTTCAAATACATGGACTTTTCTGGTAACAATCTTCCCAATCGTTTTCCGAGATGGATTTGGGAGGCGGGGAAGAGCACGCTAGAACGCTTGGACCTGTTAGGCAACTTGATTATGGGAAGTCTGCAACAATTCCAATGGACGGTGTTGCAGTACATTAATCTTGAAGATAACCTTCTCCAAGGACCGCTTATCTTCCACCTTCCATGACCAATTATGTCTCGAAAACAGTTTCAGCGGAGAGATTCATCTTCTTTTTGTGTTCTGGGTTCACTTCAGAGCCTAGATTTGTCGTACAACAAATTTTTTTTTTGGTCAGAGTCTTACAACAATTTCAGTGGCACTACACCTCAGTGCTTGGGAAACTCGAGCGGCCCTTGGTCATTGGACTTCAGCAACAGTCACTTTGAGGGGCCATTACCGCGATCCTTGGCTAACTGGACCCGGTTAGTCCTTCTAGATCTTAGTTATAATTAAATAAGCGATTCTTGCCCTCATTGGCTTGAAACTTTGCCGCTTTTAGCTTAACTTCATATGAGGTTCCATGGTACCGCTGATGAACTCAGGAGTAAATCTCCCTTTCCTTTGTTGCTTTTGTTTAGTGTTGCTGAAAATGACTTCGGTGGTCAATTGCCTCGAACATACTTCGAAAATTTTCAAGCCATGGCCACGAGGTATGGGACAAGATCAACATTAATTGATCTGTCTGACAATAGGTTTGAAGGACCCCTTCCGGTGCCTCCGCCAAATTACATATTTTTTCATTTTAAATAATAACTTCACAGGAGATACCGATGTCAGTTTGCAAAACTGCAACTTATCTTGGTGTCCTAAACTTGTCAAACAAACAGCTTGAATGGCTCGATTCCCCCATGTTTGGTGAGTTTCCACATGTTTCTCTCAGTCATAAGCATTGGCATGAACAATTTACAGGGCAAGATCCCCGAGGACATTGCCGAGAAATGTAAATTGAGGAGTGTCGATTTGAACCGAAATGAACTGGAGAGGGTGGCCGGTGGCGAAGCCCGGGAAGGGCTGGGCGAGGGTGGCCTTGCCCATGGCCGGCGAGGGCGGCCTTGCCCATGGCCGGCGAGGGGCGGCCTCGCCAGATCTGGGCGAGGCGACCCTCACCGGCCATGGGCGAGGGGCGGCCTCGCCAGATCTGGGCGAGGCGACCCTCGCCGGCGACAGGTGAGGCCGCCCCTCGCCCATGGCTGGCGAGGGGCAGCCTCGCCAGATTTGGGCGAGGCGACCCTCACCGGCGACAGGTGAGGTCGCCCCTCGCCGGCGACTAGCAAGGCCGCCCCTCGCCAGATCTGGCGAGGGGCGGCCTCGCCCATGGCCGGCGAGGGGCGGCCTCGCCAGATCTGGGCGAGGCGACCCTCACCGGCGACAGGTGAGGTCGCCCCTCGCCCAGCCCTTCCTGGGCTTCGCCGGTGGCCGGCTCGGCCGGCAACTGGCCGGTGAGGGGAGAAAAGAAAAAAAAGAAAAGAAAGGAAAAAGGAAAGAAGAGGAAAATAAAAAAAGAAAAAAAAGGAAAAAAATTATTTAAAATAAAAAATGCTGACTGTACACGCTGACTCATTCTCCGGCGAGCCACGTCGGCGTCAGAAATTAATAAAAAATTGCACGTCGGATTTCCGGCCAAACTTACCGGAGTTGACACTTAAGTGATCTCTTTTCCTCCGACTTGGCACCAAAGTGATTCGAAAAAAAGTTATGGCACCAAAGTGATCTTCGTACACAACTTATGGCACTTGTAGTGTCCTTTTGCCGAAGAATTTACATACTTATCTAGTGCTTTCACGATTTTTACTAATTCAGATTATATCATTGGCTTGAAATATTGCACTACTTATGTTATCTTTAAATCGGAGGATAATTTTACATGATAGAATTTGAATCCACTTTGAATAAAATTAGATGTAGACTCTGAGGGACAATTTAGTTAATATGAATCTTTCTTCTATCATGATTTTATGCATATTATTTCTCTTGCGAAAGTTCACGTTGACTACATCATTTCGAGCAATATAACAAAGGGTTAATACCACGAAAAATCCCAAATTGGTACATGTGTGATAAATTTACCCCAAATTAATTTTTTGACTACCAAAAACTCCAAATTAGTACATTTGTGACGAATTTGCCCTTCGTTAAATTGGATTAACATATCGAAAAATCATAAACGGGTACACTTATAACAAACGGAGGGTAAAACCCCGAAATGGTACACGCATCAACTACGACGTGTCATCTAACTCAGAAATTTGAGGGTAAAATTTAGTGGAAACTAATGGAGGGTAAAATTGTCACATGTATACCAATTTGAAGCTTTAGGTTGTCAAAAAATTAGTTTTGGGTAAATATGTCACAAGTGTACCAATTTGGGGTTTTTCGTGGTATTAACGTGTTGACACCTCATTTTCAAAAATAAAACAAATAAAAAATATAAAAAAATCCAAATTTTTTTAAATAAATAAATAAACAAAAATTCTGGTTTTTTTTTTTTGATCAATAACAAAAATTCTGGTTCAAATCAGCCCAATTGGGCCCACTTCACGCGTTTGGCCCGCTGCCCGTCTGGCCCTCCTTTCTTTCCTTGCTTGGGCCGAATTCGGCCCTAGTTTTCTCTTTTCTTTTTCTCTCTTTTGTCCTTGGGCCCAATCTTTTCCTTCAAGGCCTACTACAGCCATGCCAGCCCAGCCTGTTGCCTTTCTTCTTCCCTAGCACGCTCACGTCTGTGAGCAGAGCGATGGCGACGCTCACTTCGGTGAGCAATGATGATGAACAGCGTTCGTGAGACTCACAAGAGGTGACGGTAGCAAATCCAAGCTAAAAAAATGTTCTAGAACCTATTGAGCTGGCTGATCGTTGGGGAAATGACAGAAAAAGATTCCACGAGCCGGGGGATAACAAACCGGGAGAGAGAGTTGGCTGCAGGGAGTTCAACCGAAAAAGGGGGAGAAAGATCGGAAAGGAAGAGAGGGGAGGAAAAGGTATGTGAGGAGAGCATACCGGAGGTTCGGGTCGCTTGCCGAAGCCCAATTTTCCGAAGCCGATTTTCATCACTTTTCATCCAAAATCATGTCAGAATCGTAGTTCATTCATTGAGAAAGAGGAATCATAGCCGGAAGTCCCATTTGCCGTCGCCAATTGAATCTCCGTTTCTGTCTAGGTGAGCTCCTCAAATATGCTTTGTTTTGTCCTGTTTGTTTTAGCCGTTTATTGAGTTTGAGAGTATTGGAATGAATTGATGAGATTGTGGACAAATCCTGTGATATTAAAGCTGAGTCATAGAATGTAATGACGATTTGGAGTGTGATATATCAATGTTGAGTCGAGAATTGCACTAAAACCGAGTCTAGAATTCATGTTTTAAATCATGCGTCAACTGTTCGCTAAAATGCTTGAATGAGATGTTGGAGGCTTAGAACACCGAACTGGATTGTGAAAATTTTGAGTGAGTTTCGATTAACTGAGATGAAGTTGATATGAAATATGTTGATTCAGGTCTTTATGCATCACAATTGAGTTGAGAATCGCATTGAATCTCATGTTGGAATGTACTTCTTAAACTGCATGCTAGCTATTTGATGAAATGCATGAATGAAGTGTTGAATCAATTCGTGAATGAAAACGTCTGGTTGAATCACAGTTCATGCTTGATTTGTTCTAAAATGATTATTCGCTCCCTATTTTACGTTTCCTTGTGATTTTTGTGGCATATTAATGTTTCTCCGAGTCGGCCATGGTTGAAATTTTCACCGGATTTATTCTCCTCGCCGGAGATGTGCCCGCAGTTTGAGGCTGCTACCGTTAGTTTTCAATCCCTATTTCGTACATGTGATTGCTTGTTTGTTTAGATTTAGGATTTGTTGTTGTGGCCGGAAGTTTGTTGGCCGTAAAATGTAAGTTATAACGTTATCTTTTTATGCGAAAAATTTATGAAATCTAGGATCTTCATGATTTTCACAATAAGAGAGATGAAAACATACCTTTGTCCATAGCATTTTCCCTTGAAGATAATTGTTGCAGAAAACAGAAGAAATGAAGAAATCTGATTTCTTTCCCTTAACCCACTTTTTGCTTAATGTATCTTATCGATGGAGGATAAAAATACAACGTTCTTTTCGTACGTTATTGTGAGTGGAGAGAGGATCAGACTCTATTTATATATACCCTTTCAAGTGGTGCCTTCTATCAAAGCATATTCCACTTCATAAGAGTCACACCTCTACAGAGGAACTTTTAACTTTTCAATAGAATTACACATTTTCATCTATTTTTCATAGCCAATACGTTTTAGCACTTAAATATTTACTAAACCATTAATTCATAACATCACGTGGGCTACATTATTCTTACATAAAATGGAATTTGGTTGCCAGAGTTTATTTTTGTGGCTAGTGTGTGATGAGGGATGACGATCGCTGTAAGTTGTCGTTGACGGAAGTTCGGCGGTGATCGGAATAGATGGACGACGGCAAGGGTTAGAAAATCAGTGGTAATGGATTCCCAATGGTGCTGGTGATGTTTCGGTGGAGAAGCTCTCTCAGTACAGGTCTCGGGAAGAAGAAGACCAGAATAAAAGAGAAAAGAAAAAGAAAAAAGAAAATAGAAAAAAAAAAGAAATAAAATCTGGAAATAAAAGATTCGGGTCAAATCTGGTTAATGGATCCGGATCAGGTTGCAAACCAAGCTGAACCAAAGATGTTGTGGGCTAAGGGAATAAGCTAGGCCAGATAGAGAAAGATGTGGGCTGATATAGTATTGAGCCAGATGGAATTTGATAATTTGGTTTTATCCGGATTGGGCCAGTCCGAATTTAGACTCGACTTGGACCTTCTGGGTCCGGGTCAGACCGACTAATTGGATCGAGCTTCCTGACCCGGTCCGAAGTCCCTTTCTCTATAATAAAAATATAAAAAAAATCAGAAAATTCAGAAAAATAAAAAATATGAGAAAAGCTGAAAAATGTAGAATTCACTTAGTTTAGGACTTTTAATGATCACCTTAGGTTTGAACAAAATTTGATTCCAAATTGAATAAGCCTTTAGGGCTTTACCTTAGGGATTTTTTATTGCATTTTTTCTTTTAGAGATGATGCTAGGTCGTTGTTTGTGCACCTTCATTTTGATTTCATTTGATTGTGCACCTTAAATACATTGTTTGTTGTTTTTCCCTTTTAGAACTGTTAGGATAAAATTTAAAATTATCGATTAGTGAAAGACTGCTCTAACACGTTGGTTAGCAAATAGTCAAGTTTAGGTACCGAAATGGCATTAGTTGAAAAACTAGTGTAATTAAGTCTCTGATCCCTAAGAATCTCTAGTTGCGTATGCATCAAGACGATACTCCCACGTCTCGATTTTAGGGTTTCTAGCCAACTTTCAATTGTGGCTAGTGGCGACTCCAAATTGAATACATAGATTTAAATAATCAATGTCACGCGAGGTATGGACTTAGACAGGGTCCCACAAAATACCTCTAAGCCTATTCTCCTGAGGCGGCCTTTGAGGGTTAGGTCGCAACATAACCCTATAACAAATACAATCTTAGACTCGTATAACGCACTGATATCTTATATAAAAGTTAGTTAGCATTCGCTATATTTTCCTCGGTCCATGGTTTTCCTCAAACCATGCTTCTAATTGGTGGATTACAATTGATGAACACATGTCCATATTGGTAACTCACTAAGTAGAAGACTAGTTAGATGAAGTTTCGTCCCATTAGAAATCGACGAAAATATGACACCTTTAGGATAAATAGGTATTGATCTTCAAACAACAAATCTCCCAACAAGCAGTCAATTATAGGCATAGGTTACACGAAATTTTAGAAAACGATGAAATTTCTCTTTGATGGCTCTCTCTGATCATTTGCTTGGGAAAGCACCGTATAGACCTTTTTTAAGTTTCTATCTATAATTTGTCACGTCAAGTTATCATTAAGTCAATTACATAAATCAATTTTATCTTACCAATTAAGGATTTCCCATCAATAGTCAATATCATGTGGCTCTCTATGAACGAGACATCACTGCAGTCGCGTAACTGAGTAGCACCCCTCTGCATCATGCGAGATTCCTTAATTTGCTACCCACGAAAGTGATGTTGCGGATACATCCCAAAATGGTCAAGTGTTTTCTGGTTACTATGCATCGATGATGACAAACGCCTGTTGTCCAGGAAAGCGAAAGAAGCTTATTCGATTCCCTCAGATTGCGCGGCGAGGCGACGCGAGAAGAAATTTGTTACTTTAAACGAGCAAAATATCATTGGATACTATAATTTAACTAATATTAAATACACATCCGACGTAATCTTGTTTTAGAGAAGCCATATCCATCATTATTAACTTTGATGATCGGTCAATGTTTCAAACTAGAACTACTCATGTCAATGACGGTGGATGCGGTTCATGTGTCGAATGAATTATACACGCTCTTATGCCACATAGGAATCCAATTATGATTCCTGTAACTTGTGATCCGCATGCATGCAGATGGAGATCTTATAGCAGACGGCTATGGGGACACCCTATCGATTGCATCCCAATAAAGAAAAATGTGAGGCTCCGCGACTAGCCCAACTTGCATGGAATTAGAAAAATGTGAGGCTCCACGACTAGCCCAACTTGCATGGAATTAATGGCTCCTACGATGCCGCTATCAAGTTTACAGTCGAGGCCACGGGGACCAATCATCCACACCCTTCCGAAGCACTCGAGCTAGACGTACCGCGTGCTCTCACGTCAATGATCCCTAAGCTTTATGCAATTGGCCTCCTTCACCAACTAATTAATCAGGTCGCTTCTCGGCTAATTATAAGATTTCAATGAATTTTCATATTAGCATATTACAACTAGATAAATATGCTGTAGCTCGTTTGAACATGGTCTGTCCAATTGTTACAATTAGAAGCAACTAAGTTTTATATTATCTGCTCTAGCAATAGACCAAATTCTCTACGTGACTTCTCTAATATCTCTCACACGTTACGTTAATAATAGGTATTATTTATCAATTGAGAAGATGTAGAAACAATAAAAGGGCTTATGCCATGTAAATGGTATCTCCGAAAGCCGGGTAGGAGAAAATGGTGTGCGGTCAAGAATTTTTTGTCAAATAGTAGATTTGGGGTTTCTTACAATGCCATTTCATTCGGCGTGGCTTTTGAAGATCACTCAGTGAATAGAGAGGTCATTTTCAGGGGACCAAATTGGCTTGTCACTTAGTCATGTGTGTGGTCCGTGTGGAATGAGTCGTCACTATTACATATCTATCAGCCACCGGCTAATTCTCAATGCCTATATGCAATTTTTCTACCCCCACAAAATAGCCAATCTGGTATCAATTGAAAAAAAAAATTCTAGTACAGAAGGTGGATCACGTGATGTACTGACACAATATCTCCTACAAGTCACTCGATAAGAAATGCACATAGCCTGTAAGCGAGAATACTTAATCGGCTTGACAATATAATGTATTGTAAAATGAACACGAAAACTAATTAGGATCTTATAATTTAAGTCAATATGAGAAAGAGAGAGAAATAAACGAGAAACAATAAATGATACTAAATATTTACATGGTTCGATTCGAGTGTTGGTATCTACATTCATGGAGAAAGCCGCAATAAATAATTCACTATATTAAAGAATCAGAGTTACAATCGCTTCCATGTTCGGGTGTTTCCCATCCCATACCAGTGTTTACAAATAAACAACTTAATTATATATAAAATTGATTGTTGAAGTCGAAATGTTTTTCTTTCTCTCTTCTCTCTCTATCG